GGCTCCTCCCTTCACTTCTTGCCGGGGCCAGGGCTCTTTTCTGTCCCCAGGGCTTCTTTCTCTCTGGCGAGGGCCTCCCAGGTCCCACAGCCAAGTCCTGGGAGACTGATGCCGCCTGTCCCAGCCCCACCATGTCCTGTCTTCCCAAACCAATGAAATCACACTGCACTTCCAACTGTCCCGCTTGCCGTCGTGGTTCAGCTACCGCCCCTGTGGCGAGATGTGGCTGTGACTCCTGCATAGGAGCCAGGCATCGGGCCTCTCTGTCTGTCCTTCCCGTCAGAAACACATGTGCATTGTGCGATCAGGTATAGGTTCAGAATATAAGACACGACTGTACATAGTTGTAATAAATCTGAGTTGCCACAATTTAATTCCTGCCTGCTGCTCCCTGTCTGCTCACGGCGCTCCCAGTGCCTGGGAGGTGGGTCATGGCTGAGGCTGCACCAGGTGAGCCCTGGGAGGGCCCGGAGGGGAAGGAGGGGACGCAGGGGCCCAGCTGGGCAGGTTTCTCAGGCTGCTCACCCTGAGCCTGGAGGGTTTCAGCCTCAGCCGAGTGTCGAAGGGCGACATTCTGGTCCAGGAGGAAGGGACCTCCTGTTACTGTATATAGACCTGATGTGAGTGTGATGAGCTCTCCTTCCTTAAATGGATGAGTGTGCTCCCAGGAGAGTGTCTCACTCGCTCTGCCTCCCCCGTCTCCTCTCCCGCTCCCGCCCTGCCTCCCTTTAACCTTCACAGCATTTAGCTAAACCCAGGAAAACAGCACGAGGCTCCTTCCAAGGAGTGCTCTGCACCCTGCAGCCACAGCACTGTGCTGGGCAGGCGTGGGGACGGCATGGTCACATCAGGGTCCTTGTGCAGACACAAAGGCTTTGGAAACTGCAGAGACTGCTCTGGCTGCTGCGGAGGTGGGTTCTCTGCAGTGCTATGCACCCCTCTGCAGGGAGCCCTCCCCTGGCCTCCTGACACCACTGCCTGCCACCGTGGGCCCTGCAGCCCTGGCGAGGGAGGACAGCCAGGGCCCAGGGCCAAGGGGTGAGTGACTTGGTGTTGGGACTGTTTTGTCTCCGAAACATTTCACCTCCTGCCTAGGCTCCTTTCTAGGGCTCCGGGCCCAACCCCCTGCCCTGGCAACAAACCCCTTCCTGACTCTGGCCCAGGGGCCACTACGGACGTGTTGGGTCATGCTACTTGGGCCTCTCTCTGACCTGAGTGTCCACCCCTGGCTTGGTTCCTCACGTCTTATCTTTGACTCTTGCAACCTCACGTGACACCCCTGCAGTATGTTTTCCCGCCATGCGTTGCTAGGGACAAGCAGAGCCCACACTGAGAGTAACCTCTGCCTCCCTGCTGTTCCCAGAGAATCCAGGTTCTTGGTCCCCTGGGCCACTAGCCTGTGGTCATGAGCACCCCCTTGTCCAGGAGCCAGGCAAGAAGACGGCTGGTCTGAAGCCCTCTCTACGGGACGGGCCTCTGATCCCGGTCCTGAGTGGCCATTATGGGGGTCTCTCCCTTTAGCTTGGTGACCATTTATCATCATCTCTAATTTTCTAGGGGTTTGTCCTGCAGTGGGACCAGACAGGATGACCAGAAGGCAGATGGCCTGGGTGGAGACACAGCCAGAGCTGTGGGGGTGCAGCGGGGAGCACCTGCAGTGGTGAGAGGTGGCCCTGGGGCCTCACCGTCTGGAGGCGGGGTGGGGGGGCGTGTTCTCCAGCAGAGGGTCCACAGGCACTCCTTGAGGAGAAACCTGGGCTCCAGGCCTTTGGCCCCGCGGGTCCTGAGCCCATGTTGGAGTTTGAGCATAGAGAGCCTGGCCTGATTTCAGGCAGAAAACCCCTCCCCAAAACGGCGTGAGTGCTGCCTAATAAAGGCAGCTGTGGACAGAGGGAAAACAGCCCTTTGAAAAAAAGCCTTTCATTAGAAAAATAATGCATTTCATCCAAATAAGGTAAAAATATTTGGAATGGGGCAGAAGTGAGCAGCAGGCAGCGCCTGTCAGGCCCTTTCTGGAAGGGAGAGATTATTATACCCAATTACAATGTATTTTTGTAGTCTTTCAGGAAAGCCCTCATCCAGTGCTGGGAGCTGGGAGGCTGCCTGCACCCTCCTGCCCCAGGTCCCGGGTTTGCAATGCCCCGGCAGGCGGGGCGCTGGGTGCATCGGGCACATCCCAGGCTGCCCCTCCGCTGCCGAGCCGTCAGCTGGCCTTCCTCCGCTGAGGGGACCTGGGCCCGGAAGGGGAGCACTTGCTTGGGGGAGGGGGTGCTGAATTTGTAAACGTATTTACAAAAAAAGGTGTTTAAAGGGAACAGAGTACAAACCCCTTCCCCCCATGCGGTTTCACAGGTGCAGGTGTGCTCATAGGTGTGCCCATGGGCTCGCTCACTGTCTGTGTCTCTCTGTGTCTCTTATTAAATAAAAATGGGAAACTCCTCTACAGTGTTGTGTGACTTGCTTGTCTCACTGAAAGTGAGTCCTGTGTCCTTGGGGACTCACGCCAGGTGGAGTGGAAGGCTCTCTAGAGGCTCTTCCTGGCCCTCGGTGCTCAGCCAGGACCCTGAAGCACTGGTCCTTGAGGCTTATTGCCCCTCTCCTCTGATGATTGCCCCAGGCTGCCCCTGCCCCTGCCCCGGCCCAGCCCCAGCCCCAGCCCCAGCCCTGCCTCTGTCCCAGTCCAGCCTCAAAGCCCAAGGAGGAAGGGCAGGCAGGAGACGTTCTATGTGGGGCCTGCCAACCTGATCCTCAGGAGTTTACTTAATCCTTGGTGTTTCTTGGTCTGTTTGTTTAAAGCTGTTTCTGCCAAGGCACCCAGAGAAGAGGTTCGGAGGCTCCAGACGGAGCAGGCGCAGGGCGCCCCTGAAACCTGCAGGTGTGACTTCAGCCTTAGGTCGAGCACTCACCTGGGGGTCGACCTGAGTCCTGGCTGACCCCTTGTACCCCTCTCTGTCCCCTGCTTTTCCTCCTACACAGGCATTTCCCACCCCTGCTGGGGCAGACGCTTCAGGGTGCCGTGCTGAGGTGTGACCACCGCCTTCTCGCACCTGCTGCCCCATCCCCACCGCACTCCAGCCCCAGCCCCCGCCCCCGCTCTGGGCTGCTGGGTGCCTCTCACCTGAATCGTGAACAGCGTACTTCCACCGAGCACTTGGAGTTGGTGCCTCTAGGAGAGATTTTACTGTTTCATACGGAGACCGCTGAGGCCTTCCCCTGCTCCCTGGCAAGTCTGGAAGGCTCTTTACAGTTCTCAATGCATCTGGAAAACTCAGGTGCCCGGCTCCCCCACCCCATCCCACAGCCCTGGAGAGTTGTCCCCAGGGGCCAGCAGTGCCAGGATGCCTCGGACAGCCCAGAGCGGCCACCAAGGGGCTGGGGAGGCAGGGCAGGGCCAGGGGTCCTTTGGTGGGAAGAAGCCTCCCGAGGTGGGGGTCTCCTCCAGGGGCTGGGGTTCATGGTGCACAGCAGAAGCAGGTGAGGCGGGTGCTTCAGCTGCCTCCTGCCCGTGCTGGCTGGGGGCCCCGTCTGCCCTTCCCACGGCCTGAGGTGGTTCCTCCCTCCCAGGGGCTGCAGGCCTGGCCCGTTCATCCCTAGCAAGATCCCCGAGACTGCTGCCCACCTGCTCCCTGGAGGCCTGACCCTGACCCTGGGGCTTGGGCCAAGGCCACCTGTGGGGCCAGGTCCCCCTCTCATGAAGGTGGACGGACAAGCTGCCTTTACCCAGGTTGACTGGGCATGCCGGCCCCACACCCAGGGAGGGGGCTGCCCTGTCGCCGCCGGTCCAGGTGGACTGGGGCAAGGCTCCTGTGGGTGACTCGGCTGTTAGTAGCACCCAAGCCCCACCAGGTCTGTGGGAGGTGGGCAGGCTGTGGAGCTCAGCCTGAGCCTGTGCAGCTGGCTCTGGCTCTTCCCAGGCGGCTACGGGAGTCTTGAACCTGCCCCAGCTGGGGTGTAGGAGCCTCACACCACTGCCGCTAATTAAATCCCAGGGTGAAAACATGTTTTACTGCACTTCCTACTGAGTCCAACAACCACAGGAAGGGTTGTGGGGCCTGCACCCACTCCGCACCCCTAGGGTGGGGCACCGGCCCAGCTGCAGGCCCCTCCCTCCTGGGGGCGGGAGTAAGGACAGTGGGCAGGTGCTTGTCCCACGGAGGCTTTCCTGAGGGGTGCCTGGTACCCAGTGTCCCTTCCCTGGGCTGGGCACAGGGCCCTGCCTTGTCCTGCATCTCACTTGGGTGCTGGCCCTGCCCGTCCACTGTGTGGGGGTCTGCTGAGGTCCACCCTGGGCCCAGAAGACCTGGGGGCAGTTGAGGAGGGGGCAGTTTTGGGGTGTCTGCCCTGAGTGCCCATCTGCCCCAGGAGTCCCTGAGAAGCAGCCAAAGTTGCAGCCCCTGGGAGCTGCCCCCCAAAGCCCCTGTGGGCCTCACCCCTCTGCCCCCCGCTGCAGCACCCGAGGGAGCCCTGTGGTCACACCACCTACCCACCCAGCTGAGGTCCGGGCTTGGCTCCTTGCCTCCCCTTGCGCCCCACGGGAGGGCTGCTCGGCCCACCAGGGCCCGTGAAGCTCCCATAATGGTTTTAATTTGTTGAACTTGTGTTTTATCCCATAAATTAGTCACTGTTTTATTTAACAGAATCGAGATATCCACAAACAATAGGCGAGTTCCAACTTGAACATTTTAATAAGACAGAAAAAAGTATATATTTTCGCGTCTGTTACAAACATATTTATGTAAATAGCCTGTGGGCTGCGTTCCAGG